TGAACAAATGGTTGGCTGACAGATGGAATGTAATGGGCTCAATGGAGTGTTAACTCTGAAACCTAACGATAATAATGTCACAATCAGGCATGGGTTTGAACTGACATGGGGGCATCTGCCTGAGTCTGCAGAGAGTCTGGCATGATAGCCCCAAGAAGCATGTGTCCTGCTAACCCTATATTGTGATTGTTTGTTAATTCTGAAGTCTACCGATAAATACAATTGGAACTGAGGGGAATTTTTTCAACCAAAATTGTTAAGCCAGAAAAAAAAAATGCAGGTTTGGTGACCCCCCAAAATGTTTTGTGAATTTGTGTTGATTTTGCTAAATTTCTTTTATCAAAACAAAGTCAGAAAAAAATCCAACATTTTCTAAACAAAATGTTTTTATTTTTCATTTTGAGATTTCCTTTTGTTTTATTAGGAAAACCATTAAAAAGGTTGAAAACCATTGAAAAGGTTTGGTTTCTTTTGGTTCAAAAAGACTGTTTGTTTAATTTAATTTAAAGAAACATCAGCAGTGTTTCAAAGTGGTTGCAAGATTTGGGTTTTTTGCTTCAAAACAATGTGGCATTTCGAGAGTTCCTTCAATTGAAATGTAAAAAAATTAAAAATGTTTCAAAGCAGTTGAAACTTTTCGATTTTTTTCGGTTTGCAGTGACTTCTGTGTTCAAGCTTCCTTGTAATTTAACTTAAAAAACCCCCAAAATGTTTAAAAAACAGTTGAAATGTTTCAGTTTTTTAAAACGAAACATTTCATTTGACCCAAAATGGATTTTTTTTTTGCATTTTCGAGTCACTAAAAATTTCTAAAACCTAATTTTTCAGTTCAACCCATCCCCTTCACCCCAATTTTCAAAAAATCAATTATTTGCCCACCGCTACGTGTGCCATTTCATGGCTGATTGGAACAAAAAAAGAAGGATTGTATTGTATAGGGACCTACCTGCTTTGAAATCCCAAGTGGATGGGGCTTATGTTGTGGGATAAGCTAATTTCCCTTATTCCCCCATCCCTGGATTGTGAATAGACACGGCTTTGATTCATTTTTGCATCAAAGGCTTTTTATTAACAATAGATGCAGAAAGCTACATCACATCAGGAGCAGAATTGACCCCCGCCCCCCATACACACAATGGTGTGTATATCTGAAATGGGGGAGGGGGGGTAATTCCTTACCCCTAGACTGACCACAACCCCTCCCTTTGTGACTTCTCACAGCATCCCCCTGTGAGGTAGGAAAGTTTTACAAGCTCCGTTTGACAGATGGGTGGGGGGGAACTGAGGGAAGCCAATTGACTGGCCCAAGGTCACACTGTAAACTGGTGCCGGAGCTGGGAGCAGAATGTACCCCCCCCACCATTAGACCCACTCCCCTTGCTGAGCTGGGAATAGAACCCAGGAGTCCTGACTCCAATCCTACCACCTCTAATCACTACTCCCCTCTAAAAGGCAGACATAGAACCCAGGAGTCCTGGCTCCCAGGCCCCCTGCTCTAATCTACTAGGCCCCACTGCCCGCCCAAAGCTGGGAACAGAACATAGGAGTCCTGGTTCCCAGCCTTCCCCTCCCAGGGCTATTATAGAACCCAGGAGTCCTGGCTCCCAGCCCGCCTTCCACTAAGTACTGGGTCCCACTGCCTTTCCAGAGCTGGAAAATGAACCCAGGCGTCCTGGCTCCAGACTCTGTGCTGTAACCACTAGACACTGTGGTCCTGCCCCCCACTTCTGTGAACGTTAAATGACAACAAAAGCAGAAACTATATTGCAAGTTAAAGTCAGAGTATTTTAACTAGAGAAAAGATCCCAAAATTCAGTGATCCCCTTAAATCTGCCCTGGTGGAATTGAATAGTTTGATGTAAAGGAAGTTCCTTCCAATTAAAGCTGTTCCGGATCTGGAAATCCTTAACCCTAAATCCTTTCCGGTTCAGAAGGAATCCCCCCAACAGTTTAAGTTTCCAGAAAACAACATTTTGAATGTGATTTTTTTAAAATTTCAGTTTGTTTTCTTGCTCTTTTCATATTATGTTTTTCTTTTCTATAATGTATCACAAAAATAAATTTCAAACTGAAAAGTCTTTTCAAAATTTTTAAAAAAATGGAACGTATTGTTCTGATCCAAAGATTTTTGTTTTGATTTCCACTTTTTGAAATGAAAAGTCAGAACTTTTCAATCTGATCAAAATGTTCCATTCTGATGTCAACTTTTCTTTTCATTTCTTTATTTTAAAATAAAATACAAGATCAAGAGAAACAGTATGTGTGTATGTGGTATAGTATCTTATATTCTCTCCTATGTAGACTATAAAGCAGGATAAATTTTTAAAAAAAGTATCATAAAGTTTCATTTCAATTTCAACTTCACTTTTCTTGTCATTTTTTCATCCTGTATTTTATTTTGTATTACTTCATATATATATATATATATATATATAGTAGTAGAGAGAGAGAGAGAGAGAGAGAGAGAGAGTTTCTATTCTAGTCTACTCAATTTATAATAGAATATAAAGTAAAATACATTTCAAAAGGAAAAATTGCAATATTTAATTTCAATTTCAACTTTGCTTTTCTTGATCTTGCATATTATTTTGTATTTCATTTTATATTTTGTATTTTATTTTATAGTCCACTATATTATTAATATATTTAATTTCTTGATCTTACGTTTTATTTTGTATTTCATTTTTATATTTTGAATTTTATTTTATAGATGACTATATTCATATATTTCAAATCACTTTGAAATTAAAATTGGAATATTTTAACCTGATCAAAATATTTCAAATGTGATTTGACTTTTCATTTCTTGATCTTGTATTTTATTTTATGTTAGAGTCTATTCAATTCCATGATTATTTATAATAGAATAGAAGATCAAATCAATTTCAAAATAAAAAGTCCTTTCAAAATGAAAAATCAGAACATTTCGTCTTTTCTTGTCTTTTCATCTCTTGATCTTCTACTGTATTTTCCTGTATATTATTTCCACTTTTATATTTTTAAATTTTATTTTCTAGCCTATTCTTTATTATTTATAACAGAATAGAAAATCAAATCCATTTCAAAGTGAAATACAATTTTTGAAATGAAAAATTGAGATGCTTAGCCTTTTTATTTTGAAATGAAATTTCCTTGAAATTGACCTGTCCTCATGGAATATTTAGATATCAATGAATTGGCATTTCCCAACCGAAAAATATTCCATCAGAAATTTTTCCATCTAATTGGAGTGGATCTCATTTCTCACCCACCTCAACAATCCTGTGGATTGACAAGTGTATCCAATTCTACTTTCCTAGGCCAAGTCTCGGTAGGCTGACTGGTTTTTATCTTAGCCTAGTGGCGGCAGTATGAATCAGCCACTGATTTTAAATTATCCAGGGCAGGTTTTTTCATTTATCGCTACTGATACTTTTTTTTTTTGGGGGGGGGGAAGGGGAATAAAAAACTACCAAAAAATACCAAAAGCCCTTCCAAAAAATAAAAAATATGGAATCTCATCTACACTGGGTTTATATTGTCAGATCTCTGTCTTGGTAGGGGAGATAGATAGATAGATGGGGTATATGGGGGTAGATAGATAGATAGATAGATAGATAGATAGATAGATAGATAGATAGATGGGGTGTATGGGGATGTATGGATAGATAGATAGATAGAGGGGCATGTATAGGAATGGATGAATGGATGGATGGAGAGGTGTATGGGGATAATAGAGGGGGTGGATGAGGATGGATGGATAGATAGATACATGGGGTGCATAGGGATTGATTGATTGATTGCTAGAGGGGGTGCATGGAGATAGATAGATAGATAGATAGATAGATAGATAGATAGTGATGGGGTGGACTAGTCCCAAAGGCCCCTGCTGGAGGCCTCAGGGTCCTGCCACACCCATCCCAGGAAAGGAGCAGTGGAGAGGTCCTCCAAGCGGCCTAGAATGGTTGTGAGGAAGCAACCAATCATAGGGGCTGCTAGAACAGCTAATCAGGGACCAAGGGGGCCATGTAAAAGGAGCTGCAGAATAGAGGAGCACTAGCAGTCAGTTGCTGCTTGGAGCTGGAGAAGAAAGGACAGTGTGCCTGGCTGGAAGAGCAGCAGGACCACAGACAGCTAAGTGGGGGCAGGGACCAGAGGAGGGAGAGACTCCTGGCTGGCTGCTAGGACTGAGCCAAAGACAGTTTGCTAGCAGGGACCAGGGGAGCAATGAAGGAGCTCCTGGCTGGCTGCTGGGTCTAAGTAAGGACTGAGCCCAGCTGGAGGCCACAGGAAGATAGTGTCTCCAGGGAGGAAGCCCTGGGGATATGACCCCATACCAGGGCCAGGAATACTTAAATATTGAGCCCCTGGAGGGCTAGAGAGACACCACCAGAGGAGTACTGAGATATGCCCTGGAAGGGGTCTGTTCTGGTTCACATGCAGACACTGTGTGTGACTCAGTTGGAGGGCTGACTCGTTGAAAAAAACACCTGAGAACCACCAAAGGGGGTCACCAGAACTGAAAGAACGCAGACACACCCAACCAGAGGGGGCGCTCGCGAGAGGTGGTTGCAGACCCTGTTACAGAGAGATGGATAGGTTAGATTAGATTAGATGGGGTATATGGAGATTAGGGATGGATGGCTGGAGGCGTGTGTATGGGCATATGCAGACAGACAGAGCAGGGGGTAGAGAGGCCAACAGACAGAAAGTCAGTGACTCTGGAGACAGACAGATCAATAAATAAGACTTGGATCAGACAGATGAGAAAGTTGGGCTGTGGATGGCTGCAGGAGGACAGGCAGACAGATGCTGAGTTTGCTCACACTGCCCCGTCCCCCCATGGGTGTCAGCGAGCAAGACGGGGGTGCATGCCCTCCCCAGGAGATCTGTGCATGGGGTGGTGCCCTCTGGGGGGCTGTACCAGCAGGGCAGGTGGCACCGACAGATCCCACCCCCCCTTCCAGCCTGGGGCCAGGAGGGGAGACGGCCCAGCCGCCCCTCCCACCCGGTAGCCCTTTCTAGACCTCCATGAGGAGAAGCCCGATGAGCAGCGGCAGCCAGGTGGTCATGCTGGTCCTCCCGGCCCAGCCAGCCCCGGCGTTCCCGAACACGTTCCTCCCCTTCTCCTCTGGCACAAACTCGATGTCGGGGATGTGGTTGTGGATCCAGGCCTCATAGGAGGTGAGGCGGATGTAGACCCCAGGGCGGTTCTTGATGGCACAGCCTTCGCCCCAGCTGATGATCCCGGCCAGCAGCCACTCCTTGGAGGCCTTGCAGACCAGCGGGCCGCCGGAGTCCCCCTGTGCGGCGGAGGTAGAGACAGGGCGTCGGAAGGGGTGTGAGAGCGGTGCTGGGGATCGGGGCCTTGTGTGCGTGTGAGCAGCGCTGCCTCGTGCTGGAGGGAATCAGGCTAATTGGAACACCCGGCTAGATGGGCTGGTCCAGGGTGGCAGAGAAGGGGCGGGATACCGGGCTAGATGGGCCCATGGATCTGAGCTGGGACAGCAGGGATGGGGCAGGATACCGGGCTAGATGGACCCATGGCCTGACCCAGGGAGGGTGTCAGGACTCCACCTTCCCTGGCTGGGGGGTGCTCACCTTGCATGTATCCTTCATGCCCTCAGCATACCCGGCACACATCATGTCATTCTGGATGGCCTTGGGTGGGAACTTCTCCCCCAGCGCCATGTTGTAGAGATACCTGCAGGTCTTCTGGTCTATAATGGGCACCTGAAGCTTCTGGAGGGTCTGCGGAGCTGGCAGGTCCTCTGGGAAGGAGAGCCAGAGAAAACAGTGAGGGGCCCAGATGGCTTTGAAGCAGAGCCATCGATTCCAAAGGGAGTGGAGGATGGGGGGAGATCAGAGAATTTCCCCTCTCGTCCAGAGCAATTGTCCATGTTGGGTGCCATCACACAGTCCCCATGGGAACATCTGTGTACCTGTGATGGGCCTTGTTCAGTCAAGGGGAATCTCTCTGGACTCAACGGTGGACATTCATCGTTTGAATTGCTGTTTAACAGGTTTAAGTTTTCATCACCCAAGATGTGTTTAACCTTTTTTTGGTGGGGAGGGAGGTCGATTTCAAATGATCAGGCTCTGTTTTGGGAGGTTTGGTTTTCATTGGTTGTTGGGTTTCATTTATTGGCTATCGTTTCTTTGGTTGGGTTTCGTGGATTAGGTTTTCAGTTTGGCTTATCAGTTTTCCTTTCTTGAGTAGTGGGTTTCATTTGCCAGGTTTCTGGTTTCATGTATCTGTTTTTGTGTTTTGCTTGTCAAGTTTGCTTTACTGGGGTTTTTCATGTCTGACATTTCATTTAAGGGATTTTGTTTCTTGAGTTTTGGGTTGTTTCATGTATTATTTATTGGGTATAGTTTATTGGGTTTTATGTTGTCATGATCGGGTATTATTTGTCAGGTTTCACATTTCTGTTATCAGTTATTGTTTATTGGTTTCCATGACTGGTATCGGTTATTGGGTTTCATGTTGCATTTATTGGGTATTGCTCATTGGGTTTCATATTTCCGCTATTGGGTATTGTTTATTGGTTTCTATTATTGGGTATTATTCATCAGGTTTCGTGTTGCTATTATTGGATATTGTTCATTGGGTTTTTTATTTAAATTATCAATATCATTTATTGGGTTTAATGTGACATTTATCAGGTATTATTCACTGGGTTTCGCATTTCTGTTATTGGGTATTGTTTATCGATTTCTATTATCGGGTATTATTCATCAGGTTTCACGTTGCCATTATTGGATATTGTTTACTGGGTTTCACTTTTCCATTATCGGCATTGTTTATTGGGTTTCATGTTACATTTATTGAATCTTGTTGATCAGGTTTCATGTTTCTGTTGTCAGTAGACTTGGAAGGATTAGATTTGTATGAGTAAATGTTGGTAAACATCAAGTTTCACCCTACACATACACACAAACTGATGAAAAAATATTTCCATTGATCGTAACAGAAATTTACACATAGCCAAAGTAAGAAAAATGCTGCTTGAGAACTTATACGAATCTGATTTAAGGATATTTACTTAGTATATTTTGACATGTGATTTTGACAATTTGTGTTTAGCGGTTATAAAGCTTTCACTTTTTGAAATCAATGTCTACAGTCATTAAATAATTATTGTCTGATGCACCCTGTTGTCTGATGGCTCCCCATAATTTCCCACAACTGAAAATTTAAATTGATAAAAATAAAAAGATGATTAAAACTCCTAATTTTGTAAAATTTACATTGCTAAAAATAGGGAAAGAATGCATAAAAGCAAATCTGTTGAAATTATAAAAAAAACAATAATCAAATTCTACCAAGATATTTTTTATCGGGTTTTGTTTTTCCATTATTAGTTTTCATGTTTCATTTATTGGGCATTGTTTATTGGGGTTGGTGTTTTGTTTATCAGGTTTCATTTCTTGGGCTTGCATTTTCATTTCTTTGTTCATTATGTTTCATTTATTGTTGAACATGTTTCATTTATTTTATTTCATTTGTCATTTATCTTGTTACATTTGTAGTTTGCTGTGGTTTGTTTATCTTATTTCATTTACTGTTTATTGTATTTCATGTGTTGTTGTTTGGTTCTCATTTATCGCATGCCACTTATCATTGGTTGGGTTTTGCTTATTGGGTTTCCTTCTATCACCTTCCACTTTTATCCTGTTTTGTTTCTTGTGCTTCATTTATTGTTGATGGTGTTTTACTGATCAGGTATGGTTTATTGGGTTTCCTTTGTCATGTTTCTTTGATCACTAATCAGGTTTTGCTTATTGGTTTTGTTTGTTGTATTCATTTGCTCATTTCTCAGGTTTGTTTATCAGTTTCATTGATCATGTGCTGTTTATCGTTTATTATGTTTTGTTAATTGTGCTCCTTTTATTGTTTATTGGGTTTTGTTTCTAAGTTGTTCATTTATTGTGTTTCGTTGTTAGGTTTTCTTTATCAATTGCATTCATCGGTTTCTGTTTTGTTTCTTGGGATCCGATTTTGTTTATCGGTTCCCTGGTTCCCCCCTTTTCGAATCCCTCCACAAAGTTCTTCTTCATAGACCATTTCCCATCATGAATCATCTCGGGAAAAGAAATCCCAAATCCCGAACCCACTAAATAACCACCCCTTCCTCTGCGTCCATCACCCAACTGCTGACTCCCACCCGCCCCTCGAACCCACCGCTTTCCTAGTCTCTCTGCCCCAATGCCATGATCCCAGCTCCCAAAGACACCTACCTCCTTCCTGGATGTTGCCCCAGCCCGTCACCCAGCATTTCATGCCTGCTGGGAACTGGACAGAGGCAGCTGGGAGGCAGATGGGGAGGATATAATCAGTGAATTGGATGGGTCTCTCCAGCTCCACCAAGGCTATGTCCCCACTGGAAGATTCCCCTGAGTATTTCGGGTGGCGGATGATGCGTCTCACGCCCAAGGACAGCTTGTGAGGTTGACTGTTGGCCAACTTGTTGACTCCCAGCAGCACCATGTAGCTGGAGGTGTTCAAACTCCTGAGCAGAGAGAGGAGTCAGAAAAGAGGGTTGGGGGGGGGGGGCCTGTGGGCTGGGATTGAGGGGCACCAGCAGCGCTGGGGGTGGGAGGAGCCCAGGACTGGGACAGCAGGGGGCTGCGGGTCGGGATCAAGGGACGTTGACACTCACCGTTGGAAGCAATGAGCTGCCGTCACCACCCACTGGTTGGAGATGAGGGATCCCCCGCACAGATGTTTGTTGTACCAGAGCAGACTCGCCTGCCAGGGCCACTCACCTTCCATCGAATCCTCACCCCCCACGTTCCGGTACTGAGCTCTGGGGCGGCCACATACTGGGGAGAAGGAGGGGGGGATGCTCAGACAGCCTGGGGGGATTGCCAAAGCCCAGAAAACAGCTGGGGACATCTGGAGGTCATCCCCTACCCGCCCCGGGCAGGTCTCGAACCAGCCACATGTTGGGCCCTGGCTGGATCTGTCCCCCACCACAGAACCAGACAGAGCCCCACGCTAATTGGCTGCCGGGAGCCAGTTGCCTGGGTAACCCCAGCTGTGTGTTACCAATGGGGAGGGAGGGACCAGAAACTCACCTCTATTGGACCGGGTCATGTGGATGCTGGGAACTGAAAGAGATCAGAGAGAAGGTAAGAGAGATCAGACCCATGGGCCCATCTAGCCCAGTATCCTGCCCCCTCCCTGCCAATTGGGATCAGACCATGGGCAAAATTTCTCCCCAGCCTTCCCGAGTTTGACACAAGCGTCTCCTCTGAGGCATGAAGCTTGTAGCCCAATCGATAGGTGGGTCCTAGGTCAGGGGTTCTCAAACTTTTTTTCCTGGGCCCCCCTTTGAAAATATTTCCGGTTGTGATGTTTCCCCCACCACACTCTTGGTACTGGACATAGTTTTCACTGCATCAGTGCAGATCCCTGCAGAGCTAAGTAACTATACCAGGCCACCCAGCTCTGAAGGCAAGGGAAAAGGACGAGCAAGGACCAAAAAAAGAGGGCATGTCTGGGGAAACCTGGACGTATGGAAACCCTATAACATTTTTGTGATCTTGCAACCCCCCCCCCAATAGCCTTGCAACCCCCTTTTGGGTCAGGACCCCCAGTTTGAGAAACACTGTCCTAGACCCTTTAAGTGTGTAGGAAATATGTCCTTCCTCCAGATATTCCGCATTTTGGCTAGCATCCTGGGAAAACGTGTGACCCCTGTTGCGTCCCGCAGCAGGGCGATCTGCAGGTTAATTGAGTTCTACATTAAGCTTTATCGCCATTGGTCAGTCCCAGCCATATTCACCTTGCTTCACCCTTTGTTTTTCGCTACCCAGGATCTACCTCGTGCCACATGTGACATCGGCACTCATCTCCCACGGAGAGTGGCACAATAAATTAGTTTCACAGTAGCCGTTAGATCAGGGTCCCATCGAGCCAGGTGCTACACAGACCCCTCCTGACCGAGATCAGGGCCTGCATTGTGCCGGGTGCCTTCACAGACCCCAGAGATCACTGCACAGACCCTGTGACCGAGATCAGGGCTCCTCTTGTGCCAGGCACTGCCCAGACAGACAGAGAGAGACAGTCCCCGCCCCAAAGAGAGAGAGAGACAGTCCCCACCCCAAAGACCTTCTGGTCTGAATAAAGAAGAGAGACAAAGGGCAGGAGGGGAAACTGAGGCACGGAGTGGCCTAAATCATACTGGCTCTCTGATCAGAAGCCATTGAGAGCTGAAAGAACACCCGCCTTCTTAAGGCTGGGCATGACACAACCACTGGCTAATGTGGGTGTGAAGCAAACTCCCTAGGGTGTCCAGACAGCAAATATGAAAAATCGGGGCAGGGGGAGGGGGGTAATAGGAGCCTATATAAGAAATGGACCCAAATATCAGGACTGTCCCTATAAAATCGGGACATCTGGTCACCCTAAAACTCCCCATGGGGCGGGGTGGCCCCCGGCTGCCTCCTGCAGGGACGGTCGCACTTTCCAACAGGTGTGACAGGAGCTGCAGACGGGATACTGGACGAGAAGGGCCCGTGGGGCTGAGCCGGGGGTGGCAGGATTCAAAGCTAGATGGATCCATTTGTTTAATCTACTACAGACCCTCGCAAGGGACAGGTCCCGGATTTCCCAATGTGGGTCTACGTTGAACTGGAGGTTTCCTGGTCTGAACTTCCACAGGAGCGAAGTTGGGAGGCCGGGGGCCCCAGGGCAGCTGCAGCTGTCTGAGGCCCGGTCTACCCACTCCTGCCCTCAGGCACCGAATGAGGAGGAGGGGGGAGGCAGAGTGTAAGGCCAAGGGGGCGGGGAAGGGGTTCAGGCTGGACTCTGGGACTGACCCTGTTCGGGGCCCTCGGCTTTCCCAGCCCCACAAGTGCCTTCTCTGTGCGTGGAGCTGACGCCCAGGCTCCGAGGCGGAGAGGCGACGGGCATACACCCACACGCTGAGGGCAGACAGTAGTGAGTCACTGTCAGGGCTGGGGATAGAACCCAGGAGTCCTGGCTCCCAGCCCCCTCTGCTCTGACTACTAAACCCCACTCCTCTGCCAGAGCCAGGGTGAGAACCCAGGAGTCCTGACTCCCAGCCCCACTCTGACCCATTAGAGCCCCCTCCCCTCCCCGAGTCCTGGCTCTCACCTCTGGAGTGCGAGTCCATCTCGTCGCAGCCTTTCCCGTGGGGATCCGACATGCTGGCAGCCGTCCCCATCAGCCCGGCCAGGACGAGGAGCTGCAGCGCCCCCCAGCCCATCACCCATCCCCTCTGAGCAGCTCCTCGCCTCTCCCTCATGCCACTCCTGAAGGGTACAAGCAGAGCCTCTCCTGCGAGGGAGCCAACGAACAGCTGCCAGGTGCCCTCTGGGGCTCGGGGAACCTATATACCCAGACGAGCAGGGCGGGGAACAAAGCGGCCCAACTCGTTCCAGGTGAGGATCCCAAGCGTTGCTACAACCTGTGTGTGGTAGAACCCAGGAGTCCTGGCTCCTAGCACCACCCCCACCCTGCTCTAACCCATTAGCCCCGACTCCCATCCCAGAGCTGGGATAGAACCCAGGAGTCCTGGCTCCTAGCACCACCCCCACCCTGCTCTAACCCACTAGCCCCGACTCCCATCCCAGAGCTGGGATAGAACCCAGGAGTCCTGGCTCCCCGCCCCTCCTCCCCAACCCACCAACCCCCACTCTCCTCTCAGAGCTGGGATAGAACCCAGGAGACCTGGCTCCCAGCCACCCCCTCGCTCTAACCCACTAGACCCCACTCCCCTCCCAGACATGGGGAGAGAACTCAGGAGTCCTGGATCCCACGCTCCCCCCCACCTCTAACCACTCGACCCCATTCCCCTCCCAGAGCCAGGGAGAGAACCCAGGAGTCCTGGCTCTCCAGCCCCCCCCCCGGTCTAACCACTAGACCCCACTTCCCTCCCATTATGCTGGGCACCACGCAGACCCTGCCCAAGACTGGGGCCCCTGATGGACACCCATGAATGATCAAGGCTGGGATTTTATTACAGTAATAGGGTCACTATAGTAATAGGTGACTGGGTGGTAGGGCCAGCTGACCAGCCATCTGTCTTCTATCCATCACCTATCATTGCTCCCACAAAACCCCACTATCCCCCCATTTCTAAATCCGTTGGCTCCCGTGGTGGTAGCTCTGGATTTTCACTGGGATCACGGGGATCAGAATATGGCCCTGATGGCCTTGGCCTGAGTGGGTCGCTCCCAGCATAGGCCAGAGTCTGCAATCAACAGCTGTGGAATCCGCCACCAGCTGGAGTTTGTCCCACCAGGACAGACAGTGAAAGGTTTTTCTTGGTTAAACAACCATGCCCCCTGCCCTTAAACCAGCCGGGAGACTGGGCTAGAGGGGCCCCTGGGTCAGAGACAGGGGGAAAAAAACCCAATCTCTGCATGTATTATTTTTCACCAGATTCTGTAACTCTCTCTCTCTGGCGGTTTTGAAGCTAAGATCTCTGGTTCATTGCTTGTGACCTGGTTTGTAGAGCACTGAAGATAACTCACGCTAGAGATGTTTCTGGTATTATTAATGAGCTGGTATTGACCTATAATCAGGGTGATTACTATTATTTAACTCAAATGACCAAAATGCACTTGGGAGAAACACATTTTGAGTTAAATTTCAGCAGCTTGGACCTTCCTGTCTTACTCTCTGTATTGTGGTATCACCTCCAATGCCTGGAGATGGATTGTTACCCCATGGGGCTAGGCTCTGCACAAAACCCTTTCATTCTGAAACTTCTCTTGCTCTTCCGAGGGGACCTCCAGCTGCCAAGGGAGCAGAGCAGAGTGGATTGGAAATGGTATGGTCCCATTTGATCTTCAAGGCTCAGTTTTCCCACTGCTCCGACAGTGCCGAGACTGGTCCTAGCTCTTGTTGTTTACTCCACCCACACTCCCACCCATGCCAGGCATGCCACTCTGGCAGTTAGCCCAGTTCCTCCTCCCGCCCACGCTGGTCTGCGTGCCTGCTTCTCTGAGATGCCCTGGATGTCTGAGGAGGGTAACTCAAGCCTCCCCAGGTGAGTTCTGTGTCAGTGACAACGGCTCCCATCTGCCTGCCAATCTCCTAACCTAATCTAATTTAATCTGTCCGCCCTAATCTCTGTGCCCGTCACTCTGATTACCTGACCTTTCCCTCCTAAATCTGATATTTATAGACTCATAGACTTTAAGGTCAGAAGGGACCATTATGATCATCTAGTCTGACTTCCTGCATGACGCAGGCCACAGAATCTCAGCCACCCACTCCTGTAACAAACGCTTGACCTTTGTCTGAGTTATTGAAGTCCTCAAATCGTGGTTTAAAGACCTCAAGGTGCAGAGACTCCTCCAGCAAGTGACCTGTGCCCCACGCTGCAGAGAAAGGCGAAAAACCTCCAGGGCCTCTGCCAATCTGCCCTGGAGGAAAATTCCTTCCCGACCCCAAATATGGCGATCAGCTAAACCCTGAGCATGTGGGCAAGACTCACCAGCCAGCACCCAGGAAAGAATTCTCTGTAGTAACTCAGATCCCACCCATCTAACATCCCATCACAGACCATTGGGCATATTTACCACTAATAGTCAAAGACGAATTAATTGCCAAAATGAGGCTATCCCATCAAACCATCCCCTCCATAAATGTATCAAGCTTAGTCTTGAAGCCAGATGTGTCTTTTGCCCCCACTGCTCCCCTTGGAAGGCTGTTCCAGAACTTCACTCCTCTAAGAGTTAGAAACCTTCATTTAATTTCAAGTCTAATTTCCTTACCTTGTCCCTCCTAATATGAACGTTCTACTCCAAAACGTCTCTGCTAATCTCATCTAATCTAATAATATCCCCTGGATACCTAATCTATACTAATTTGAGCCTCTCCTAATCTAATCTAATCTAATCTAATCTAATCTAATCTAATCTAATCTAACATGATGCTCTGGTAACATAATATCTTCTAACCTGAGCCTTTCCTAATCTAATCTAATCTAATCTAATCTAATCTAATCTAATCTGATTTTATCTAATCTGACTGTCTGAAAATCTAATCAAATATGATGCTTTCTTAATGTATTCTAATCTGAGTTTAAAAAAATCTGATGTAAACCTCTGAAAATCATATCTAACCGAGCTGGAACTCATCTGCCTAGTTACTAATGTAATATCTACCTATTCAACTATCACAGTGCTTCATTCACCTAGCTCCTGTCCTGTTGGATTTCTTATCCAAACTGTCCATCAATTTCTCTTCTAATTGAGTTTAATCTAATTTCTAACTAAAATTATCTTCCACTTGCTACATCTTTCTTAAACTAAACTGTGCTCGATATTGTCTTTCCTGATCTAATCTGCATTCTATCATTTCTACCTCGATGATTTAATTTTATCTATTCTGAACGACCCCAATTTAATCTTATCTCCTCTAATCTAAAATATTCCTGTTCTAATCCAATCCAATTTAATCTGTTACTCCATAAACTAAAATAACCTAATTATCTCTGTTGATAGTAACATCTGGGCACCTCATAAATTAATCTAACTGCTCTATTAGTTTAGGGCCTGTTTTTAAAAGTAATTATTGTCATCGCCTTGATTTGGACTTTAGATCCACTGACTACAATGATTTATTCTCAGTTCGGCGAGGGGAGTGGGGCCTAGTGGTTAGAGCAGGGGGTGCTGGGAGCCAGGACTCCTGGGTTCTGTCCCTGGCTCTAGGAGGGAGTGGGGTCTAGTGGGCTAGAGCAGTGGGGTTGGGAGCTAGGACTCCTGGGTTCTTTTCCTGGCTCTGGGAGGGGGTCTAGTGGGCTAGAGCAGTGGGGCTGGGAGCCAGGACTCCTGGGTTCTCTCCCCAGCCCGGGCAGGGATAGAAGTCTAATAGTTAATACAGATAGGTCTGGGAGACTAGGCTCCTGCCTTCCAATCCACACCCTACCATTCACTCACCACGTGCCCCTGGCAAGGCAGCCTTCTCTCAGTGCTTAATTTACCCATCTGTCCCGTCCTCCGCTCCTGGGGTGTGGTTGTGGCTGGATGAGCACCCATCTCTGCAACACCTTTCGGGGGTTAGCGACACACTTCAATCAAAAATGCAACAGAGGGTCCTGTGGCACCTTTGAGACTAACAGAAGTACTGGGAGCATAAGCTTTCGTGGGTAAGAACCTCACTTCTTGCATCTGAAGAAGTGAGGTTCTTACCCACGTTAGCTTATGCTCCCAGTACTTCTGTTAGTCTCAAAGGTGCCACAGGACCCTCTGTTGCTTTTTACAGATTCAGACTAACACGGCTACCCCTCTGATACTTCAATCAAAAATGTCACGCTTCCAGGTCAGCTTGGTCCAACCGTCTTAGGAATTGTTGGAGAAGCGCCTGGATTCCATGGCTTTGAATGTCATGATTTCAACGGAGCGTAGCATTTACAAGCACATGGGCAGGTTCTATTTCAGAGCCTGGGAGTCAGGAAAAGCCCTGGCTCAGGGAGAGGGGTCTAGTCGAGCCCGGTGGTGGGACTGGGGTCCCATGGCTCCTGGTGCAGTAATAGCGGGAGCTGGGAAAGTGTACTTTGTTGCGGGCAGGATTGGGTGGGCAAAACCCCCCAGACGGCGGGAATTCGTGGGCAATCTCTCGTCAGTTTGTCACAAACAGAATTTCAGCACTGCAAAGCCCGTTTTCCTTTTTTAAATAAAAGGTTTAATCCTTAAATGGAAGCGAGGGGTAGAAAGAGATTTGTCTATTTTTAGACCAGGAGTGGAAGTATTTTTTTTTTTTACATGGTTTAAGCAAGAGTAGTTTTATTCTTTTAGTGGTAAACAATGTGGCTGAATTCTGTTTATATCTGTAATATATGAACCGACTTTTTTTGTTGGTAGCGTGGGGGAATCTGTCCCTCGTGCGGGATTTGCTGGCTCTCAGGTTGGTGCGAGTGGGAGTGAGATTAAAACAATACGCTTGTGCAGGGCTCTAGGATCTAGTGGGGGGCTGGGAGCCAGGACTCCTGGGTTCTATCCCTGGCTCTGGGAGGGGAGTGGGGTCTAGTGGTTAGAGCAGGGGGGGCTGGGAGCCAAGAATGCAAACTTTACTGATTTAATGGTGAAATGTGGCAGCTGACTAGAATCCAAGCGTCTTGCCTTCCAGCTTCCCCTCCCCGCCCGGTAACCTCATTAGCGCCTCAGACAAAGAGAAACAGACACAATTTGTCTCTACGATGCTTCCACTTA